AAATGATTAGAATGTTGAATGATTGTGCAGAATCAGTCACACATAAAAAACACTTTCAAGTAAACTCCGAAGTCCCCGAAAAGCTCGCCTCGGGTTTTGAATTTAGAGTTATTCTTCTTGACTGGTTGCTAACCAACGCTAAAGAGTTCAATATGACCGGATTTTTCATTCATAACTGTGATATTTCTTTTCAATCAATCCATGTAAAGTGATAACGCTTTTAAGACGTAAGAGGCTACTGGGAGTGAAAGAGAATGAGAAGAATTTAGAAGGAACCGGAAACCCAATCCTAAACCGGAAAGAAGGGATACATTTCTACAGCTGTTCAAAAGGACTGGGTCAAGTGTGAACCGAACGATAGGCGAACCTATCTACTCCTATTAAATAAACCAAAACTGTTACAATGGCCGATCGAGTATATCTGGATTACTTAGACTTATTACAAGTTCCTATACGATTTAGGGAAATTATCAGTATTAAGTTTAAATTTCAAGAAAATCATTTTGTGATGTTGGTCGCCTCCTTGTGGTATAATGAGTAGCAAATTTAAGTTACTAATCATTAAAGATTTTTTATATATAGTTAAATTTACCTACTACAAGGCTCAAGCACCACACATGGTAGAGCGTTACTGAATGCGACGTTTAGGGAGGCAGAAGGAAGTTAAGATTATGATAATTGTATTATGATAGCGATCGGCTCGTGACTTGAAGTGTGTGTGTGTGGGGGGGGGTAATATTGTGATGTCCGGGAAAGCATACACTTTTGTTTCCCGAAGTAGAAGGCAACTACGTGAGGAAATGTGCTTGATTCGACTCCGTCGACATATCATGGCAAGTCCTGAACTGTAGAAATCAATGAGTGAGTAAACATTTGCCATGGAAATAGCGATAGAATAGTGATAGGCTTGTGATGTTACATCTGTTGGAAAGAAGCTGTAAATAAATCTCAGAATAAATACCCCCCAACAAGACTGATTAATTTTGAACTCTAAAAGTGTTCTATATAATTAAGCAACTTCAAACTAAACATGGCAGAAGTACTTTAATTTTGGTCTAATCAGACCCCTTTAAGGAAAGAACAACATAAAGACTTTTAAGGGAATGGATTGTTGGGGTTGTTAATATAAGATACCCCGTGTTATATATATTAATAGTTGATAGAGTATTTCTTTTCACTGTTTTTATACTGGAAATGAACGTACAACACTAACAAACAACAACAAGACTTTAAGACGCGTATTGAAATTAATGACATGAATGTGTGTTTTTCTTTTCGCGAATGTTATTTAAAATGTTCGTTTTGTGTGTGTTAAATATTTTCAGGGTTATTGTCTCTTTTTCTTTTGTTAAAATTTGGGCTTACTTGTTTATAAGAGTTCCGAGAATATTGTTAAGGAAAACTTTTGAAACCGTCACAACTGGATTTTCACGGAGCGAAGAAGATACGTCTGTTTTGTTCTTTTTACAGCTGCTTCTACTACACTGCTGGGGTGGAAAGGTTGTTTTTAGAATGATGAAATTTCAGATCTTTATTTCTAGAATGATGAAATATCATCATCATCATGAATCATAACAGACTTATGTGCTTTAGGGCGGTAGAAAGAGCCAACCGTTTTTCCAGCATCCTTAACAATGGTTTGTATTTGTTTCACTTGAGGCCTGGAATGAACTTGAATCTCAAAAGACGTTCAAAACATGGAGCCTCATTAAAATTACAACCGTTTGTTATAAACACGCGTATGGTTGCACGAGAGAAGAAACATAACTAGTAACGCCGGTGAGATGAAAGTAAAATAAGACAAGAATTGTTAATATAAAATTCTTTGTATTACCGATACAGTGAATGTGAACAGATTGTCTCTTTGTGAGCAAGGGAAACGACTTGGAGTAAGAGTAGAGTTGGTAGGGCCTGGTGTTGATGCGTGTATCGAGTCAGTTGACCGATGTCATCGTATGGATCTTGAGAGAGGCCAATGTCAGAATAGTCCAAGCTTTCCCATTCGCCGAGAATATGACAGTTGTTTATAAGCGAAGAGGCACGGTGGAGTAATGGATGGCGGTTCGGATTGTGGAATCAGAGTGCAAAGTTCGAATTCCAGTCGAATCTATTACATTCGCTTACGTGCTAATACCCTTAGGAAAGGTGTGAATCATCGTCTCCCCCCCCAGCTATCGATAAATAGCAGAACAGACCGGGTTCTATAGCCTTGGATGGCAACTGATCTACAGCAGAAAGAAATGGCAACTTACTGCGGGAAAAAGTCTGCCTTGTAAGTCATGTATCGAAATATACATGATCGCCCAAGAGTGTATGATGCATGGCACATAACTGCCTATTTATAAGCGGCGTTCTTAAAAGCAAATATGGTGGCTCATGAACTCAGGTTTTTCTTTGGCGGAAACGTTCTTGATTGGCTTCTTTTATATTGCATTTTATATCTTTTTGATGGGATTTGTTTTGTGGGCCGGATGTGATGCCCGGGGCTCCTCTGCAGAGGACAATTTTTTTTTATTTTTTTATTTTTTTTTTTTTAATTTGCTTTTTTAGCCTTCATATCCGACCGATATGTAGAGTGAATCAGAAAGAGATCTAATTTGAAGCAGAGTATAACACGTCCATCTTGACGGGAGAAAGTCTGGTCCTTGATACCGTCGTAATGCCGTAAAATTGACACATGGCCCTTGCTGGCTGCGTCATATTTGTCTTGTATGGAAACAAAGCTGTACTCGGCGAAGTTTATAAATCTATGAAAAATATAGAATTTTTATTTAAACATTTACATATCAAGTGGGGGATCAGCGTTATTTCAAGAGTAAAAGGTGATCAATTCGAGTTGGGTAAAGTCACACTTTATAGCAGATATTTATCCATGCCCTCACTCTCAGGGAATGTTCAAGCCTAGATACGTCTCCTTTTGGAGACAACTCAGTCGCCAGGTAATGATTCCATTCTCCTCCCAATGGAGAGCTAATACCTGGAGGGATATACTCATGAGATTCAAGCCTAATATTCACTTTGAGCACACCAACCCAAGTTACACTTTATTAATATTAATTTTTATTTTAAGATTCATAGTGTCTTATACGTTAAGACGTAATTGCGATTTAGAAATAAAGTTTTAATACCTTTAAATGTGGTTGTTTGCAAAAGGGACAGCCCAACATACAAATCACAAATGAGTAATACCAAAAACAAAATCAAACAAGCACAACAATTAAAATCCATTGATGTGTCAGCTGTTCAGAAAGTTAGTAAATCTACCATTCATTCATGAATTGAATATTGCTGCCACATATGGTCCGATGCTTCTGCTATATATTTAAGGATCCTTGAAAAAATCCAGAGAAGAATCAACAATATTATTGGTCCTTATCCGGCATCTCGGCTCCAGTCACTTCCCCACCGCCGTAAAGTTGCCTCCCTGTGTCTTTTCTATAAATACTTTCATAGTAATTGTTCGGGTGAGCTCTTCGCTATGGTACGTAGACTTTATGAATTTAAACACAGTACTAGACTAGCGACGAGGTCTCATCAATTCACAGCTGAGTTGGCTAAATGTAACCGTAATTTCTATGTTAACTCATTTCCGGCTCCATCTTCCCAGTGAAATGTGATCTTCAAAAATTTAAATGTAATCTCAATCACTATCTACTGTCCTTCTGATTACTTTTCTTTTGTTCTCGCTCCTTAGTAATGTTTCTGTTTTCTAATTCTTCTACACCCAGTAACCCCTTAAAGTCTTAGTGGCTTTACTGCCTTCGTTGGGGTGACATCGATTAAAAAAAAATAATATCTGGGAAGTGTTTTAACAGAGGACAGAAATATATATCCGAAGGCAGACTGGGATAGCGAAAGATGTTTTCTAAAAACTAGGCAAATTATTAAGAAACAGGAAAATTTTATTAGAAATAAATAAAAAGGACTGAATTGTTACGCAATACTAGTCCTCCTATATCGCAGTGAACTCTGGACAGTTGATGAAGAATAGACTTGAAGCAGCAGAAACTGGTTCTACAGGAGGATGCAGTGAATACCATAGAATACCATAGACCGAACATCTGAGCAATGAAAAAGTTTTAGAGAAAATGGAAACAAAAGTACAGTTATATTTAACAGGAAGAGGAAGTTCAAATTTCTGGGGCGCATGATGAGGAAAGGAGGCTTGGGAAATTTTATACTCACAGTAGAAATTGTAAGCAAGGAGACGCAGAGGAAAAACAAAACATAATCTATCTAGCGAGCTGAATAAATGGTTGACATGGCAAAGTTTCGGAGAGATAACAAAAGGACAAGATTTATAAAACACTACAAAAGACAGGAAATTGTGGAGAGCCATGATCGCCAACGTCCCATAGAAAAAGGTAATAAGGCGAAAATCTTGAGTTATCTATTATCATTACATAATGTCATTTATATATATTCTGTATTGATTTTTATGTACAAATTCCATATGATAATGGCAATGGTAATATCAGCCGTTTCCTTATAAGGGAACATTCCTTATAAGGAAACATATCCGTTTCCTTATAAGGAAACATTCGACATACATTGACCGAGTAGCCATTACTCTTTCCGCTTTAAATTTATAAAATCTTTCTCTTAAAACACTTTTTAGGAAAACAAGTCCAATAGCTGTTATCGCTCTTTCCAGTATTGATGACGGGTTCCTTCTTACCCTTTTATTTGATGTGGTGTGGAATGATTATGTCCTAATTTTCTTTTCGAGTTACATGTGCTATCCATTTTAGTTGTTACTGCTGTTGGTAGTTTCTCAAATGACGTGGTTTCTTTTATTTGATACAGTTCTTTGTTTCTGATATTGTAGCGCCAGTTCACAATTTCCAAGTAAGGATGATCTCTGGTTCAGAATTTACTCGCTCAAAGCCTATTTTTCACCATAACTGTAATAGTGTGGCCATATTTTCTACACTTGCTTATCTAAGGAAGTAAATCATCACAACTAGTTTTACATAACGTTCTGTTAGTAATGTGTGGGCTTACGGCCACATCATGTTGAAACACCGGTTCCTGTACGATCACCGAAGTTAAGCAACGCCGAGCTTGGTCAGTACCTTGATTGGGAATACCAGATGCTGTCAGCTTGGATATGGGCGTAATGTAATGGATAATGGTTCGGAGAGCCGAGTTCGAATTCCCGTTGGGTTCTTTATATTCACTTATACGCAAATACCCTTGAGAAAGGCATGAAATCACTTATTCTCCCCCAGCTATGAATAAATTAGTAAAACTTCTATCACTAAGCGATCACAAAAAAAAATTCTTGTAATCTAAAAATATTTAATCAAATACTGATTAGTTATATAGATATGTCTTTTATATTTATTTACATTCTCTGGAATATAAACTACCGTGGCCATAAAATGAGGATCAGTTTATATATTGATTGTAATACAGAATTGATCCCCCACATTATAAACTTTTGTTTGTTCATCAAATTCTGATTAGGTATAAATCCATCTCTTCTCCCGTTAACTATGGGTTAATTAACAAAATTTGTATCACTAAATCATTATTACATCTAAATATTCTTACAATGTAAATATATTTTCTGGCTTTAAACAACCAGCAAAAGGTTGATAAGCCGTAGAAAATGAATGAATGAATCAATCAAATACTGACTAGTTGCACAGGCATGTCTTAGATTTATTTACATTCTCTGGGATATAAAGGTATAGAAATTAGTGTGGTTACAAAATGAGGGCTCAGTTTATATATTGATTGTAATTTAGAATTGCCTCTACGCGTTAATTAGTTTGGACATCAAAATAAACAGTCAAATACTTCATCTTCTCTTCATTCTCCCTCCAGTAATTTAATACGCGTAAATCACGCCACATGGTGTCAGGAAGAATTTATGCCACGTAGTGTCCAAAAGAAGAAGAAAAATCACGGGAAGAAAACTACAAGAACTCCTACAGAAGTTAGAAGAAAGGACAAAACAACAACTGCAAGAAAACAGAATGCATGGCCGTTAGCAAAAGAATGAGCCTAAAATGTAAATTACAAATCAGAAATAACAAAACCAAACAAGCACAAAAATGTAAGCATCGGGGAAGTGTTTTAAGAGAGCATGGAAAGTGCGACACTGAAATCCAAAGGCGCATTGGGATGGTTAAAGATGCCTTCCAAAAGCTAAGTAGAGTATTAAGAAAGAGAAAAACCCGCCTTAGAAACAAAGAAAATAGTACTGAACTGTTATGTGTTCTCCTGTATGGCTGTAAATGCTCGACAATCTTGAAGAGACTTGAAGCAATAGAAATGTGGTTCTACAGAAGGATGCTGAGAATTCTATTGGCAGAACATGTGATTTACAGAAGATGGAAACAAAAAGGAAACTAATACTTAACATCAGGAAGAGACAGTTGAAACTTCTACGTCACATAATGAGGAAAGAGGACTTGGAAATCAGATATTTACAGGACAGATTCGAGCCAGGGGGACAGAGGAAAACATGGATAATAGTGAGCTTAAGTAAATGGATGGCGGAACAAGGTTTAGATAAAATGTCAAAATCATAAAATTTATTAAGAGCTGTAAAGGGCAGGAAGTTGTTGAGAGCCATGATCACCTACGTCCTGAAGGGACACGGTACATAAATAATAATAATAATAATAATAATCTAGCAAATTACTAAAAAGGAAATGAGGTCATAGAATAGTGTTTACATTTTAACAATTTCAAGGGCAACATTTAATTAAAGTTACTTTAAACTAAAATTATTTCACTAAGAAATTCTTTTTCTCTCTTTGAGCTTTTATTCATTGAATAAAGCACATTAAAAGTCGTGTCAAATAATAATAATTTTATACAAATACTGACGCCTTTCTAACACGCAAAACGAAATAACAAACGATATGTCGTGTCACAGACTATCCCAGTTTTGTTGGTTTATTTTAAACACAAACAACTACGTTGAAAGACATATGCGCATATTTAAACTTTTAACATTTTACACTGTGCTAATAAAATAAGCACATCTCATCTCTCCTCTCGCTTGTAACTACCCATCACAATAAAATAAACGTTTTTCAGTACTAAAGCAGAGTCAAATATACATTAATAATCTTCTAAATTACTAAATCACATCTTCCATTGTGCATTTCGACGTAGTATTATGATTAGTAAACTTTCACTCGTGACATCAATTACAAGTGAGTAGCGAGTTCGATCCTCATCTGGTGCTACACGTCACATCTAAGTTACTCTTAGTAAGTTAATATATCAATAGCTGAGCGTTAAATAGAAAGGCAGACTAGATTCTAGCCGTGGTTTGTAACTACAATTGGTGGACAACTCTGAATTCAAAACAGTTGGTGGCTCAGGTAGGACACATATATACATGAACTTATTTTTTTATTTAATTCACCCCAAGCAAGACGATAGTGCCACTAAGACGCAACTAGGAATAAAAAAGAATGAAAAGACTTTAGCAGGAACTCGAAACTCAATCTTAAACCGGGAACAAAAGATAAACCTTTATTCCTGTTCAAAGGACCGGAGATAAGTGTAATTAAGGTCTGCTCAGCGTAGTTGGACTGACGAAGAAACACAAATGGACATCAACAGATGGATATGGGCAACCATGCTGAAAATAAGTTATCGCATTGATTTGCAGTATGCCTTCAAGGGGACATAACTCTGATGGTAATAATACCTAGTCCTCTACCCACTCTGCCAACTGGATGGCATATCACTATATATACAAGGTGTTTCATAATTGTTGAAACAAAGTAGCGGCCTCTAAGATAGGGAGAGCTCGAGGAACGTGAGGACCTTGATGAGGAACAGTGGTTCCAGCAAGATGGTGCTCCTCCTCACATTGCTAATATTACCATGGCATGGCTCCATGAAAAGTTTGGAGAGCGTCTCATCAGTTGTAAAGCTGAAGTGGAAATGGAAACCTCATTCTCCTGACCTGAACCCCGAAGATTTCTTCCTCTGGAGGTACCCCAAGGACAACAACTATCAGGAAAACGCTAACTCAATTGCTGCATTGAAGGCAGTCATCACTGAGAAGATTCAAGCAATAACCCAGAAGGATGTGCACGCCTTAACAACTTTGCATTCATCACTGCCTTCAACTGAACGGTGGACTTGTAAAGGATGCACTCTAGGGTGCTTCTTGATATTTTTGGTTCATGTTTGAGACTAAATGCTTGCAGATCCTAAAATATTATCCTTTTACCGTTCAATAAATGTATTTTCCATTAGTCTATCATTTTTAGTCCCTGATTTGTGCCCGATCATTTTGTTTAAAAAATTGTGAAACAGCCTGTATAATAGCCCCGTTTCCCGGATGGTCGCTGGTGTTGTTGCTCGTCATTGTTTTGTTTCGTCGATCTGCCGTCCCTTATCTCAGCGCCACCAAAAATGTCGTATTCTTAACGGTGATTTTCTGATCTTCACGGCTGTCATATGTTGACATCAGTAAGCTAAGAGGTAACCAAATTCTACTTTGATTTCGCCCGGTAGCCATTGTTATTCTGCAGAGATTTCAGGTGAGAAATTATCGCTCCTGTGGTAACTTCTTTACTGATAACTAATTTCAACGTACACGACAACAAATTTTAATTTCGAAGCATATAAAGAGTAAAAACACTCTGTAATTTTCTATCTAATCTTGCTATTTTGCAATATGAATTACTTGCAAGTCCTATTCTCTTTTAAGAGCATCTAATGATTTCTATATTGTGGGATGATGAGATGACACAATTAATTAAAAATTTTATTCTTAAAAAGCATTTTACCAATGCTAAAAAGTTTGGAAAACTCTGTCCTAGATTGAAGATAAGTTGAGTTCTATGATCTAATGATTAAACTGTATGGATAATGGAATTGACCAGCCAGGTTCAAGTTTCAGAAACTACAGCAGTAACACATTCTATGTATAATTTGAATTTTTATATTTGATTTGGCCATCAGAACTAAATGAGTCATTACAAATTATACTTTTAAAAAGCATTTCACCAATGCAAAATGTTTGGAAAACTCTGTCCTAGATTGAAGATAAGCTTTTTTGACTGCTATGATCTAATAATTAAACAGTATGGACAATGGAATCAGCCAACCAGGTTCAGAGTTTGTGTTCACTTTAAATTGATACCCTTAGGAAAGGCATGAACTCTCTCTCTCCATCTCTAGGTAAATTAAACAGGGCAGACCAGAATTTGTTAACTAATATAAGAAAAGGACAAGTTTGAATAATACAGAAAGCAACATGGAACCACTCTCTTCCCTCAAATTGTTGAATTTAGAAATGTAGCAAATTTTCTAGTCATAAATTTGATAGATACAAGACAACATTATTTAGTAGTCAAAGTTTTTTTTAAATCATCTAATCCCCCCCCAAAAAAAAATCAATTATAGCAGGCTTACTGCCATATCACACGTTTCTATTAATAACTCGTAACTACTAACAGGGAGGGAAGTTCTAATATGCATGACGTACCAAGAAAAATATACAGTAAGCGGGTAAGCCATATACTAACAACATGTAAGAACCTGAAACAAGCCCAAATCAAATATTACCAAACAAGTAACCTGAAAGGACTCTTTACCAGGGTCAATCCAGATAACATTTTTAAATTTCTTAAAAGAAACACCAAAATCTGAAAAGACCTTTTAACTTTTAACATTAAGTACAGTTTATAAATACAAAAAATAACTATTACTTTTGATACGACTATAATGTTAAAAAAGAACTCAATTTCACTACGAAATAATAATACACAAATATAAAATCTCAACCCTACATGCTTTGGCATTAGATGACTCACTAGGAATTGATATGTCATTAAACAAAACAAAGTTTAAAATATTGAAACATTTAAAAACATTGAAACATTTAAAAACATTGAAATATCGGTTTTCATTTAAAACATTAAAATACCGGTTTTCATTTAAAACATTGAAATATCGGTTTTCATTTAAAACATTGAAATATCGGTTTTCATTTAAAAACATTGAAATATCGGTTTTCATTTAAAACATTGAAATATTTAAAAACATTGAAATATCGGTTTTCATTTAAAAACATTGAAATATCGGTTTTCATTTAAAAACATTGAAATTTCATTTATTGAAATACCGGTTTTCATTTAAAACATTGAAATATCGGTTTTCATTTAAAACATTGAAACATTTAAAAACATTGAAATATCGGTTTTCATTTAAAACATTGAAATATCGGTTTTCATTTAAAACATTGAAATATCGGTTTTCATTTAAAACATTGAAATACCGGTTTTCATTTAAAACATTGAAATATCGGTTTTCATTTAAAACATTGAAATATCGGTTTTCATTTAAAACATTGAAATATCGGTTTTCATTTAAAACATTGAAATACCGGTTTTCATCTGATCCCCGAAGTTAAAGAACTTCGAACCTGATCAGTACTCAGATGGGTGACCGCTTAGGGATGCAGGTGCTGTAAATTTGCACTGGTTTTTTTTTTTTTTTTTTGGCAATTGTTAATAATTAAATAATGGACCTTCTAAGTCCTGAATTTTCTATTTATGTAACTAACCTCGTCAATGATTTGAGTAAGGGTTTGTATGATTTCGTCATACTATGGTGGCTCTTATTATTGGCCAGGTTAATGAAAATCCGACGATTATGATTTAATAACTTTGCAAGAAGTTCAAAGTATTGAAATTAAATACCGAATTAAATGTACAATGGCCTCTTTTATTCATAAATGTAAGCATCTTTAATTTTATTTCAATATATTCGATCCCAAGGGCACCTCGGCGTGGTGCAATGGTTAGAAAGCTTGTCTTGCTAGAACAATTATGATTGAGTTGTGAGTTCGATTCTCACTGGGTGCCCCATACTTTCGGCCTTGTGCCACATCTAAACCGCGCGTAGAAAATCACTATTCGATCCCAACTTGATAATTTATGGAAAGGAGTAAACGCTTAGTCTTCATATATATCACCTATCGATCCCTAATTGTGCAGATCACAAAGATCTCATATCCGATGGTCATCTATGGAAGAATCTTCCTTGTCAAAGTTCCAAAGAGATACACCACACTGCTCAAGATAAAAACCACCTGGTCTATGATCCCTAAGTAAAACACACCGACAATCCTTCTCATAAAAAAATTAAACTCCAAAATCCCCAGGAAAGATCAAACCGGTTCAACATATTCTCACTGCTTTATCGCGATTACGATGGCAGATGTTCGAACGAATTACATTCCTTACTCCCACAAACTGAGACCTTCATAGCTAGGACCCCCAGACAGCTTCTTTTCCAGAACTGTGGAGCAGACTCCCAAGAGGATGCTTCCTGATAACTAGTCAGAGAAATAAAAAATTATCCGAAGTTTCGCCATAACACATCTTTAGGTTTGACACACTGCCTTCTCTTCATGCGTGCTTATCATTGGTACTATTGAAGTCATGTGATCGAAGTTTGCGCTTAATCGAGTCATTTTTGTTGCTGCTGTTACAGTGTAAATATGGCCGCTCCGAACCCGACTGGAATTTGAACTCTGCTCTCCTATTAATAATTTCAAACCATTATCAACCACACCACTTGCACATCCAAAATTACAGTACCTGATATTCCCAAACGATCACCCAACTAGGTACTGACCAGGTTCGACGTTGCTTAACTTCGGTAATCGATCGTGTCAACGTGATATGACTGCAAGCAATGCCAGTTTTTGAAGACAATCCTTAAATTTTATGAATGCCACTTCCATTATATAAATTCAAGTTTTTAAATCAATTTCTGTCAGAATTTCTGGGACTAGGAGTTATCATTATTTATACTATTTATATTCGGACTATTGTCCTCATCTTTGTTGTTGTTATCACAACGCTTCGGCCGTTGTTCCCTCCTGCCTTCTGTGTAATCTCGGTGAATTCTGAACCCTTTATTTAATCTACGTGGGTAGGCTGTTCTCGACCCACTACCCAAGTCCAGGCATATCGTCCCATAGACATATGGGACAATAGCCTAGGGCATTAAAGTATTAGTTCGTGGTGACATAGTAATTGTAAATTCTATCCCTGGGCAAGTCAGTGTGTATGTGGACTCATTGGAAACAGGCGAGCAATAAATACCAATATTTTGTACATTTTTCAGAATGTAGTTTTAAAAATTAAATGCTCAAAAATTCGTAAAAGCTATTAATCTACTTTTTATTATGAGTAAGTATATAGCATACCGAGCTTTCACCTCGAGTGTAATGTTGATTTTCTAAAGAGCGAAAAAGCAACCTGATCTACTGTACAAAGTGGTGGTTTCGTGGATATGAGTAAAAATTGTTAAGATCGTAAACTCATATTTTATATCTGTCCTAACTTTGACTACCTCACACCTCGAAAAATATTGTTATACAAAAGCGATAATTCTATTCTTCAGTGAATTTGAAATCGTTTTATTACATTTGAGAAATGTGAAAAGACCTGTTTGTAGAATTAAAAAAAAATTTTTTATCGTGCATTCAGTATATAGTTTTCAAGAAACACGGATAAAACACTTGCACACCTTCAAATAAAATCGATCGACAAGGAAAAGGTCGTTTTCTTGATCCGTTCCATTAATTAACTGACTCGACGAGCTATCCTCTAAGAAGAACCAGATTCGGTCTAAAAGGAAGTACTGCTATCATATTTAGACAGGAGCTGCCTAGTCGTCACTTGTCTGTCTCGATAGAGTCTAAAAGTGTCTCCGAGTGACGAATTATCTTCCACCCTCCAACTTCTCTCTCACAGGTGGGATGTGGTAAGCCTCTCGCTGCTGTATCGCAAATTTCACGGGAAGTACTAGAAAGAACTACATTCCTTGGTTCCTAACATTCACGGCAAGAACCTTCCATACCATTTACTTAGCGGCAAACCATGCACATTTCCTCCGTATTTCATCGGTGAGAAGTAAGTTCCACTCGAACAGCTTCTTCTAGAATTGGGGAGGTGCCCCCCATATACCGTAGTATCATCAGCATAGATATTCACAAATGATCGGAGTATACTCTTAGGGGAGATCATTTTTGTACAGTAAAAAGAGGATGGGACCAAAACGCAAGCCTTGGGGTGGGGGCGTTGTTCACTTTGGCCTCAGACAACGAGGGACGCAAATAAATTTTGAAATTTAAGAAAACATCAGTAGTTACATAGTTGCCCTGTGAAGAGCACTCTTGCATAAGCGTATAAATATTTTACTCGGATTAAATTACCAGATCACGACAGCTATTCGGGAGATGTGATTAAACATACTTTAATGTTTAAAGAAATTTATTCAGTTTTATCATTGTTTGAACAATGAGCATTATAAAATACCACAAATAACTATATTGTGAAAAGAGGAATTTTCGACAATGTACGCATTTTTTATGTATTTATGGTTATTTTTTTAACTTTTAATACCTGTTAGCATCACATGGAAAAGGCCTGATATAAAAGGAATATCACACGATGCAATATTTGAAATACGCACTTTTGTTAGAGATAGATTATCAAAAAGAATGGCTGTCGTGAAGGATGTTATGTTTTTCTTCTAATCATAATTTTGATGAAAATGATGAAAAAAAAGAATTTAAAGCAAACTTAAGAACTACTCAAAGATTCTTACGAAAATTCGGATACAAAAGCGATTCTGACTCTTCTGCTTTTATTAACCAATAAATTTAAAATTATACTTTAATTACTAATTTCTTTAATTACTAACTATTTTGTGCTCAATTTTTGACATTAATAGCTATTTGCTGATGTGTTAAAATTTTGGAATAATGCAATAATAAAAATTTAAATTTCATCTTTCTGATAGATGTCACGATCTGTCAACAAAAGAAGTGCATCAAAGAAAGAAAGAAAAAAGAAAGAAAGAAAAAAGAAAGAAATTTGAAGATGTATTCTTGCACTAAACCGGTGAGTCTCTTCCAGTTGGTCAAGTTAACTTAGTGTTGGCAACATGGTGACTAAATCAAGCAATAATACGTTCCTTATTTTATACCTTACACCATTTCAACTAAGGCTTGTGTAACAGTGGTATCGATCGTAATTGAATAAGAAATGATATGTTTTAGTAACAGGAACTTATCAATATCTCCTTCTGTTCGGCCAACTGAACTGCTTCTTAGCGCACATGCTGTTAACACAGCCATTTTTTTTTTTGATTGATCGATCTTTCTTTCGTCTCCGCCAGATTTAGAATCCACGAGGACGAAAAAAACAAACTTATTTTCTCAACGTCTGTTTATGTGGCGATTTAAAAAAAAATAAAAATAAAGTTTTAAAAAAACGTGGGTATTGACTTCAGCTTATTCAGAGGTGGTGAGGCACCTCGAGGCGGTGTAGTGGTTAACAAGCTTGTCTCGCTAGAATGATTACAACTGATTAGTGAGTAAGATACTCATTGGGTGTATCCTACTTGTGCTATATCTAAGCTACGCTTGGAAAATCACTATTCAGAGGTGGGGCCTGTAAACCTTAACAAGCAGCCAGTGAACAAAAAGATTTTTTAAAAAAGAGGACACCGTGGTTGTTGCTTGCAACAAGTTCCATTGTTGTGACCTTCGAGTAGTTTAGCTAGAAAGTCTGAACGTAAAGACAATTACTATCAGTCACATATGGTTGAAGAAGTAGGAAAATTTCTTTTTCTTTTTCTTCTTAGTTATTCTTATTATCGTTCGTGTTGTTACGCTTCTTCTTTTTGTTCTTCTTCTAATTACTATCGTTCTTTTTTCTTCTTTTTCTTTACTTTTTTCCTTCTTTTTCCTTTTTTCTTCCTTCTTTTCTTTTCCTTTTTCTTTTTCTTTCTTTTTCTACTTTTCTCTTTCCCTTCTTTTTCTTCTTTTTGCCTTCTTTTCTTTTTTACTTCTTCTTTATTCCTTTCTCTTTTCCCTTCTTTTTTCTTCTATTTTCTTTTTTCATTCTTTCGATTTTCCTTCTTTTTCTTTTTCTTTTTTTCTTCTTTTTCCTTCATTGTCTCCTTTTCTTTTTTTCTTCATTCTTTTTCTATTTCTTTCTCTTTTTCTTTCTTTCTTTCTTTCTTTCTTTCTGTTTTTCTGTTTTTCTTTCGTTCTTTCTTTAGAAGCTTTTTCTCAATAACTGCCACACTGTTGGCCAGACTCCCGCTTGGGTACTTCTCTGAACACTTCAAGCCAAGGACCAAGCGTTGCTTAGTCTCCTTATCCACAATAATCCTCATATCTTACCACCTCCTCTTTCGTATCAGACGCCTTATTCCTCATTAGCTTTTGAACAGTAACCTTTTATCTTGAGTGGCCTCGACCAGGAAAGAAATCCAAATCCTGGATCTACTCAGTCCTGTTAAAGGAACTCCTTCCATAATTGGCCATTGCTTCCCGGATGGGAGGTAACCGTGCTCATCACGCTTGGCCAATTGCGGGTTGGTGAGGGTGTTTAATCCTTGGTGAATTCAGAGTTTTCCTTCACCTAGAGACCACCCAAACGTGT